TTTTGAAAGATAAAAAAAGGTATATAGCCGCGCGGCTATTATTAGTTTATTTTAAATAAATAGTATAGCCGCGCGGCTATACTCTGTTTTCAGTGTTGAGATTCATGACACCCAAACTTCTAAGTAGGTTAGCGTACGTAGTGGATATGTCCAATCACTTACTTCAAGGGGCATGTCTCAATTCTCAGACTCCTGGCCCAATTGATCTGGTGGAGTCAACCATTTTCATACGAGCATTTCTATAGTGGGGTACTTCCTCTCACGGCCGCCCCTTGGCCTTGGGAATTGCTCATCACCCTCTTCAAAATCCCCCTGCAATTCAAAGCAATAGTGTCCAACAGATGAACTCATAATGTGGCATTGCCTGGAAAGATGCTTATCCCAAAATCCAACATATGAGGGTATTGAATGATCTAAGAATAAAGCTCACATATGCATACACGTGACGTCCAGTCTTCTCATGCTCTCATGCCACAACCTGAAAAGCTACAGACAAAGGGTTTATGTTCAAGGTGTACTGCCCTGACATGTTGATGGAGATTTGATTTCTGCAAACGTATAAGCAAAATCAGAAAATGAAACAATAAAAAAAACTGACAATGGCATCATTATTCACCACTGACGCACACACACAAGGCAGAATACAAAAAGAAGATCAAATTCAGAAATGAAAGCTACCATGAGAATTCTCATGCTTCCACAGCTTTGAAGCAAATTTGAACACCTTTCCACAATCCTGGCATACATGCTGCTTCTGACCTCCAACATTAGCCAAAGCATCATCCTCATTGTGGAGTTCTTTCACATGCCTCCTCATGTTACCTTGGGAAACAAACCCACGATTACAGTTTTCAATCGGACACTTAAAGAGTTTCCCTTGGTGCTGAAGAAGATGACGATTTAAGTGGTCCTTTCTTCTGAAGCTGGAACAACAATCATCCACCGAACAAACGTATGGCCACTGTAAAGAATAAGGTAAATGAATTCAGGAACCAATAACCATAGTTTCAAAATACAAGTGAACAAGCATTCAATTCTAACTGAACAGTACGTGATTGAGGC